AGGTGGGTGTCTCAGCTTTTTGACCTGCTCTGCAGTGGAAGTGCAGGAGGTGCTGAGATGATACATTTAAATAGAACCCTCACTGTTCAGGCATTTGGGTGCTTGTGAAACGTCTGACTGTGGTGCTGCTGTTTTAAAACATGTGCACAAGAATGAAGATTAAAACCCCAGTAAAGTTTTTAAGTGTCCTAGGTGCTCTGCAGGAAAAGCAGTTGATTTTAGATGCAAAACAATCTTCAAATCCACCAACAGACTGACAACCATTAACAGTCTCAACTCAGCAAAGACTTAGTCATGTGTAAGGGGCCAAGATTAAATTTCTGTCTGTATTGTGCTGCTTTCCAGAAGTGCCACAACACTTATAATGCCATTGGAAATCCAATTAAGCACCTTTCTGCAGCCAATCTAACATTCAGGTTCCAACACAGTGTAACACAGGCCCAGCGGGCAGAGCACGGCAGAGCTGGGATCAGTAAACCACATTGCTCACAGCCTGACTCATCAGTCATTTCACCTCCCCAGGTGTATCTGGGCAGAAATTCATTACATTTCTCCTCACCTTCAGTCTTGCTCTCTAGTCCCCTGCCAGGAATCAAACAGCACTGAGGGATTTCCCAAATCCACAGGGAGGTAGTACTTAGCTGGCTAACCTGTTCCAGGTCTCACCCTTGCCAGCTTGCACTGGGCAGGGCAGGGCAGCCCTGGACGGTTCTGGTGTCTGTAAGCACAAGTGATGCACAGCGGCTCTGCCAGGCGTTCCCACGGGACAGAGGCATTCCATGCTGTCAGCACATATTCCTGTCAGTTCACCTGCAGGGTGATCACATCATGACAGTATTACGAAGCCCCTGTAGGCAAAACTAGGGACGAGCAAGGCTTGTCCACATGCAGGTTTCTACCAATGGCCCCACACTGACTCTCTCCTGCCAGAGCCACTCCTGGCTTAGCTTTGGAGGAGAAAAGTTGGGCCCAGAGCAGAGAGACACCAGCACAACACAACCCAGCTGCTAAATAGGCATGGAAAAGAGCTGTGTGATGACTGTAGAGGGGAAAAGACCCACAAAAAAACAGCCACACTCTGACGTGTGGATTGGCCCAGAACTCATTCCTATTGAGAGATACTACAAGGATGGTTTGAGTGACAGGAGGAAAGGCACAAAAGCATCCTTTGGGGAAATGGGAATGTATGAAGAGAGCTGCAGGAAGGACAGGATTAAGCCATTAATGTCTCACTGCTGGTCCTCATTGATTCTACACGTGGTCTGAAATTCACAGCTTTTTTCTCCTTTCTCCCCTATGCCTTTGCTGTGCAGCCACACAAGTGACTCATGCAAACGGTTTCCAGCTTACAGGAAACGCTGTCTGCTTCCCATTCAGCTTGTGGCAGTTCAGTGTCCCTTTTCTTGGCTCCATTTCCCCTGGAGAGATGGCTTTTTCCATCAGCTTCGCCAAGAGTGGTGGTTCCAAGACACAAACCTGCTGCACGTGCTGTAATTCTCAGAAACTGCCTCCTGTGCATGTGAAGATGGCTGTGAATGGCACAGAACAGGCTTTGCCCCTTTAATTGGAGCTGCACTCTTGACTTCCTCATGGTCTCAGACACAGCGTAACTGCTCACTGCTAAAAAGCTGCCACACTCCTCCCCAGGCACAGCTGCATCTCACCCACAAGTTTTAAAATTCCTGTTTTAGCAAATCAGCAGAGTGTTTTAGAAGGGAAAAGATCCTAACAACGTCATATGGCATTACTAATTTACCCTGCTAAATCAGCAACTGCCATCCCTGTTGGCTCTGGACCAGCTGTACAAAAGACTCCATTTTATAGAAATTGGGGATCGTTTAGTGAAATTGCATCTGATCTCATGACTGTAAAGAAACTGCATTTTCATCCGCCTTTCCCAAGTGAAACCAGTGTCCAAGCAACAGAACGATGAATAATCGGGCTACGAGCAGAGAGACAGGATAAGAAACAACTAGTTCTCAAACCTTTATAATACAGGGGAACGTTACAGATGCCACGGGAGTGGAAAACTGGGGAGATCAGGCCCCGGAGATGTAATGCTGTGCAAACAGCCCATGCCTACTACACACACGCACACACAGCCAGGCACCTCCAGTGAGCAGGGCAGACAGCTGTTAAGTGACAAACAGAAAGAAGCTGACTTTTCCTTCTCTCTTCCTTTTTAATTATTATAAAAAGCGACAAAGACACAGGCATCCGTCTGGAGTTCACACAAGTGTTTCAGGTGTCCCTAGTATGTGACATTGGAGATTTTTCAAGCCAGAACCTCCACTTACTACGACTTCCAACACAAGAACAACGGACTCTTCCAACACCTCCCTAGGCAGACTCTTCTCAAGAATTTTCCCAAGCAAAGACCTTCTATTGTAGCCACAGTCCCACTCACTCAAGTTCCCACCCAACTTACCCCAAACTCAGGAAACCTTCCCAGGGCTGACAGCCCTGGATCCCCACCCTCCTTCCATCCTGGCTCCCTTCTACCTTGCTCTTTGCTTCAATATAAGCAATCCTAAAATGCTAATAAAGACCAAGGGGCTGGACCACATCTTGCAGTATGGCACTAACCACCATCTCAAGGACATCAGCAAAGATAGAGGGACACGCTACAAATGTGGGACAGGATGAGGCGCAGTGCCTCAAGTATCCATCGTGCTCCAAAAGTCACTGTTTTTACAATGCAACCTCCGTCCTTTTTTGACTGACACTGAATTTTTGTTTATTTTAACCTGTGCTGAGAGAAGTTATATTTGGTGGCACAACAACAAAAAGTCACCACTGTTTTTGAAAGCAACACCACCACCACCAACTTTCTACGGAGCAGAAGGTGAGTAAATATGGTACTTGCTGTACAAACTGATCAATAGAAGATTTTAAGGAGAGCTCTGACCGAAGGGCAGAGCTGTTCATCTGCTTGATCCTGTTATTATTAAGCTCTGTTGACCAAAACAGAGATACCAGTTTTCTTGGCCTCTCTAAACTAACATGATGCATACTTTATGCCCATCCACCATGAAAGGAGGAGCCAGTCTGTTACACATAACTTTTCCTTTCCTTTGAAGACTAGGCCAGTGTTGCATTTTCATCACCACATCAAGAACAGTTTGCTCAAGGCCTGCATTTTTTGGTGTGCTTTAATGAGTTCAGGACCCCAACTGTCTGCCTGGGGATTTAGAAAACTGATATTTAATATTAAATTATAAAGCAGAACGTTTCATGTTACTGTTTTTGCTGATGTAGCATATTTATAATGGTACACACTACAGCCACTAAATAAAGATGGGGAAAGCACATCTTTCTGTTCAGACAACACAGCCTCTGGGTTACCATGGTCTGGACCCAGCCAGTTCAGTTTTCAGATGCCCCTCTCTGCTCTTACCCCATTATTGGATCCCCCACTAGCATCCAATAATACACCAGAGTAAACTGCAACATATTCCTAGCATGTTTACAGAAGCCAACTTAGAGCCTACTACATCAACAGCTTTAACAAGCCCTACGCAAAGCAAAGCAGCTAATAAAACAAAAATGTTCTGCATTTGTTGGAAGTTTGCCACTGCGATCCCACCACTAACATTTCAGCATAGCGGCTTCATCAGGCTCAAACACAGCTTTCATCTAATGAAACAGCCTAGATCCATGTTCTGACAACACACCAGCTTTGTGCTTCCTCTGGGTTCTCTAATGACAATCTACAAAACACATACAGCATCAGATCTGGACTGGGAAATTTTTTTTTTTACAGAACATGAGCATTCTGGAAAGAACAGCAGAGTAATTAGTATTTCTCTAAGTAGTGCCAGATGTGTTTAAAAGCCACAAACAGGAGAAAACCTGCACAGTTTGAACTAAAGCTAGTAGCAATCCCCTCTAATAGCCACAAACTGACAGACCAAGATCCTGCTAATTCTTTTTCCTCATCCTATCCGTCTTTCATACCTGCTTTCCTACTTGAGTTACACAAGCGCGCACCTCCTCAGAGTTAGTGTGCTGTAGCAAAATACATTAAAAGGTAAAAAAAGATTAGCCCAACTATGAACCACCACCTTCTGCCATGCTACTTTACCTCATTGCAAGTGGAGACAAATAGTGGTCTCGTGCATCTCATGACAACTGCCTGAGCACCACAGGAACCACAGCCCTGGCCTTGAACATCCTGCTTTGCTTTATTTCTTTCTGCATGCTTAATGGCCAGTTTGGTTTCTAAGTGATCTGCCAGAGAAAGACATACACAGCTGAGTAACATCAGAATGGGTCACAGTTCTTTTAGTCCCCCGTGCGAGATAAAAAAAGGAAGAGAATATAAAAAGTCTTTCCTGTGACTACATGGATTCACACAACCTTGCCTCCACTCTCCTATATTAGCATGTAGGATAGCTTCAGAAGATGGCCAACTGCAAAGCTCTGTTCCTGCAAGCAAATGGCAGGATCAGAACATATTAACTCCTTCACCAGCACCAAGGCATGTCATGGTCTGACTCAACACCTACTTCAGTTCCCTGATTTCACCTACATCTTCACATGTACAGCAACGCTTTGAGTTCTGGAGCAGAACAGAAAATAAATGTCCCTTTGCTCAGGAGGTCGTTTCGTTAGCTTTACTCCCTACTCCAGCTATTTAAGATAACTGGGGTTAGGACCTAGAGTAAACACATCCCTACTTCAAGATGACAGAGAAGGGTTATAACCACACACACCCCCCTAGCACATGTAGCCCAAATCAGAAGCCATTGCTAGATGGGGTCCCTGCAAACATGACCTTAGCAGAGATGAGCAGGGTAGCGTTGCAAGTTCAGTGGTTTGGCAGCAGGAAAGTCTGCAAGCCGGACTGTCTGAAGAGGAGAGTTTGTACTAGATAACTTCATCTTAACTTCAGAGACAACATTATCTGTTTTAGCCTTTACACTGCCTCACTCCTCTCTGCACAACCAGTCCACTGGTAATAATTGCCTGGGAAGAGGAAGAAAAAAATCCTGCATTTAGAGACAACTTTCTTTGCTTTTTATTTATTTCCAAGACACCAGTATTACAATTTTTAAATGAAGTAACAGGGTCAGTTCAGGGACTGCCCACCAGCAAGGTCTGCAAAGAGGCCATAGATTAACAGAACATCACCTCTGAGTAAAGCCAACATTTTCCTTCACGAGATATATATGGCCAGCAATGACTTCCCATCTCCTGCCTGAAGCCAGCAGATCCCCCTCCTGACAGGAAGGAGTGGGGTTCAAAGAAGGTTGCTCAGCCTTTTCAGCACAGATTTATTCCCCATTATGAAATGCAACCACAGAAAAGTTCACACCAAATTATACTAGAGCCCCAGAGCTCATACTGAAAAGAAGCACTGACACTTCAGCAGGCATGTGCCTACTGGCACCTCAGAGCCCATAATCACACGCCTCAGGGCTGTTCTTCATATAGAGCTGGAGGTAATCTTTGAATATCTGTGGGTCAGTCATCGTAGCCTTGACAGCAGGGTCCTCCTTCATGGCCTCCATCCAGCGTTGGAGCTTTGGGGTGTGATTCAAAGAGCTACAGGAAAAGGAAAGAGACTGAGTAATACAGATGGGAAACTGGGAGGACATCAAGGAAGCAAAAAAGCTTGAGAGGTTCTATTTTACTGCTTGTTTTGCTTTCTTTCTCCCAGTATAATGTTCTGCTCAGCACACAACTGAAATACCTATCAGATCACAGAAGACAGACTAGCATTTGGGAAATGAGAGTTCTTACAGGGCTTGTGTGCTCTGCAAGGCTGAGCAAAACCACCGATGAGCACTTACTGTGCAACACATTAGCGGTTTTTTGCCTACATTACCCCTGCTGCAAAAGGCCCAGCTCTTACTTATCATCTAATCTGAGCTGAGGGCAGAGGCCTGTGCACCACCGCCTCCCTCTGGAATGCTTTGTTAATAGCGATTCTTGAAGCAAATGCTGTCTGCAGTGGTCGAGTCCTCCTCCACAACTCACGAACTTTTCTCTCTTGCATACCAAGACAAGCTGTGCAGTTTGTACTCCCCTGCAACCCAGCAGCTCAAAACACAGACACAGTCTAGTGAGGAAACTGAGGATTCGACTAACAGACTAAATCCATAAACTCACTCAGACACATTTGAAGAAAAAATAACTGTGTGGCAAATTGAAAGTTTAACAGGGAAAATTATTTTCTCTTCTGGCAGACTGACCCATATACTTTGCATTACAATTTCTGGCAGACTGACCCATATACTTTGCATTACAATTTCACACTCCCAAGTTTAGCTAATGCACAGCTGTTCCAGGTATCATCTTTTCTTAACATGGCTCAATCCTCAATCATCCAAATACCTTCATGATTCTAGACCCATGCTCCTGTATTGCTTGTAATTTTTCCTTTCAATCAAGGACCACACAGGAGAGAAAGCAGGTCAGGAGCCCATCAGTAAAACCCTCACTTTACAGTGCCAGAAATTCCAGTGCTAAGGATTCCCTTCACCTTTCTTGTTCTTCAAGAATGCTTCAGGCACCAGGGTGAGATTAACTGTTCTGTACTCATCTTCCACTTTTATTACCCACTTCCTTACACAAGTTGACTCTTTAGTCCTGCTTTAAGCCAGCTATAAAACAGTTTCCCTTTGATACCATTTCCCTATGTATTAATGCAATACCATGGTAACTGGAGGTGTTGAAGGACATAACAGACCAAGACATTTATTTACATATTAAAATATGCTATTATGACAGGGACAGATCTATTAGCTACAGCAAGGTAGGATACAGTTTATCCATCTCAAACCAAAATCACCCTCCTTTGTCAGCCTAGGATTCCAAAGAGGAGCAGAAGACTGCATTTCAAGTCTGATGTTTTAGACCAAGTAATTTGAACCTAGGCCTCCATACCTCCATCCCCTTCAAATAAAGGGCATTTTCATCTATGATGTTTGGGATGGAGAAAAAGTCCTGTAGTTTGACCATTTCTTCTGAATCTGTCAACATTATTTGGTGGGAAAACAGACCTGGTGAAAAAAAGCCCATTTACAGAAGAATCCTGAACACTCATCTTTTTGAGAAGATGCTTCCCCCAAACTCTAACACAATACAAACTTTCTTCAGCAGCCTCCAAGAGCAGCCCACTGCTGCAGAGTGTAGGCAAAGAACATTTATGCTGAGACACTTCAGTACACACTAAGAGGAAGGCAAGATACTCACTCCTTCAGCTGGAATGGTTCCAGGCGTTCAAACCACGGCCAGATCATGTAGTCAAGCATGGAGATTGAATCCCCACCATAAAACACAGTGTTGCGTTTGGCCAGAATCTGTGAGGGGCAAGAGATGACAACTGACCCCAGAAGGAAAATTGCCACAGCAGGATACTACAGTAACTAAACATTCCCACCTCGTAGTGGAATGTAGTCATACTGAAGGGATCAGAGAGCAAATAATGCAGATACAGTATGTTTCTTCTGTGCATGCAGTATCTGGGGAGTCAGAGCTAATCAGTAAAGCAGCTGTAGTACCAAGCTTAACTGTTTCATACACTGTCAGTCCAGCTTTTCTCCAGTGGTTCAAAAACTGTCATAAAATATTAGTCACTAGCAAGCTGCAGCTTGTGTACAAACAGAAAGGAATTTAGCTCTCAGAATCTGTCAGTTTGTGATCCCTTATTTGTCAAAAAGCATTAATGGCACTGACTAATCAAACACAGGAGTGCACATGCATTTCTTCAGCTATAAATCCAGTTAAATTTAACATCCAGGTAAACCAGAACACCAGTTTAGCCATAGGAAAAAAGTCCCCGCACATGAGGCCAAGTGGTATCAGGAAAGCATTTCCAACATTACATCTAGAACCGGATTTGATTCCAGGTGCAAAGGGAACAGGAAGCAAGTATAACATCCATATAAGCCAGAAAGAGATCCCTGAAGGTCAGCAGAGAAAAAGACCACAAAGAATGCAGCAAGATCTCCTGTTACATTTATGTTTCTGATACATTTCAAATGCCAGTCATCCAAGTTTAAACATGCTTCAAGGAATTTCCAGAGCTTGTCCTCTTCTTTCGTAAGACTAGTCCCCCTGTTTTCAGGTACTTTGGCATTTTAAACATGGAACTCAAAAGACTTTACAAATCTTCAAATTTGGGGACACAACAGATTTGGACAACACTCCTATGGCATTTACTCCCTATGCCCCCATGATCCTAGTGACAGTCCCAGTGGCGGGCACACAGCCCCCTCTGCTGGGTAAGCAGCAGAGTGAACGCAGCAGTGTTAGAACACTTCCCGAGATAGTCAGAGTAAGGTTTGCACGGCTCTGCTCCTGCTTCCCATCCTCAGCTGACCTTCAGCTGCTGCTGCAAAATCCTTCAGGGTATAGTAAAATAGAGACGCTGAAGGAGCAGCAAGTATTTCACAGCATTAATAAAGCAGGAGGAAGGTTAATTCTTCCTTAATATTTAATAGGTTTGTATTTCAGGGAAGTGAAACACACATGGCTCCCCCCAAGAACCCATCTGTCATCTGCATTCCTCCAGCCATCATCATGATCAAACAGACAAGACTACTGTGAAAACAATTTTACTTTGGCAGGTTAAGGGGGTGGGGAAGCAGAATGCACAGGACTGTTAGGAGAATTAGGAAGGTACTAGAAAGCTACTGGTAGCTTTGCACCAGAAGAGAAACAGGATGGAGGAACACTTCTTGATTGAGGCAGACAAGCACTAGTCATGGCTGCGAAAAACACAGAAGGAATGGTTCATAATAAAGGCAAGTCTGACAGCTGTTCAGAGTAGCCAAGAACCACTGCTGACACTAAACCAGGACTGTGAAGTTGCCAATAAACAAAGTCACCTGACACTGCCTGGTGCTCTGCTGAAGTTGCATTACACGACTGTAGCAGAACACAGCCCAGGACTGGATTTCTGCAAGGGACAGATTATGTTTGGCTTCCCACCACTCTCCACAAAGATAAGCTCTTGAAGAGAAAAATTTCATCATCTGTGCATCTGCACCGATTTCAGCAGAGGTACAGCACAGATGCTTTTCAGCAGCTCAGACTCCTCAGCACTTCCTCTTAGAACATGCTGCAAGGTCTCCTTACATTTAAAGCACAGCAAAGACATTTAAGACAATAGTAGTCAGCTAGAATTCAAAAAAAACTCCGTAAATTCACACAGCCTTCATCAAACAGATGAAGTTCAGTTTAGCTACTTGGAATTTATTCTAATGGTGCTGCTGTTGTGCATGGTAGGCAGGAGAAATGGAAAGATTGTTCATTGCTGTAACTACCAGATGAATAAGAGGTCTAGTTACAAAGGCCAAGGCATGAAAGAAAAAAGGGATCATACAATAACTGGCAATGTGTTCATTAAACATGAATGTTCATGGAACAGTCATACCTCTTCAAATTTGCCAAACTTTTCAGCAATCTCTGCTTTCAGTGCTGTGGTGTCCTGTCCATCTTTGACTGCCACAAAATACTTGAAAACTATGGGTGTTATCTATACAAAGGAAAGGATAAAGTTTCCAATATTCACATTACAATAATACAAGTCACTCACTTTAATACATTATTTAACTATTTAACTTGCATCTGGTATCTTAAAGTCCATTAATAAAAATATTTTATACCTTAGAAAAGGTAAGCAAAGGCTTAAAGGAAGAATGAATGCAAATACTCATGAATTTTAGTCTTGTAATAACAAAAAGTGGCAACAAAAAGTCTGACTCTCCCCCACTACTCCTCTCCTGTGAGACTCCACCTGGAGTGCTGCATTCAGCTCTGGGGCCTTTGACATAAGAAGGGTATCGATTGGCTGGAGCAAGTCCAGAGGAGGCCATGAAGATGCTCAGAGGGCTGGAGCATCTCTGCTATGATGAAAGGCTGAGAGAATTGGGCTGGTTCAGCCTGGAGAAGAGGAGGCTCTGGGGAGACCTTATAGCACCTTCCAGTACCTGAAGGGGCTACAAGGAGGCTGGGAGGGGACTTTTTACAAGGGCCTGTAGTGACAGGACAAGGGGTAATGGGTTTAAATTGAAAGTGGGTAAATTCAGATTGGATATAAGAAAGAATTTTTTTGCAATTAGGGTGGTGAGGCACTGGAACAGGTTGCCCAGAGAGGTGGTAGATGCCCCATCCCTTAAAACATTCAAGGTCAGGTTGGACAAGGCTCTGAGCAACCTGATCTAGTTGAAGATAACCCTGCTTATTACAGGGGAGTTTGGACTAGATGACCTTGAAAGGTCCCTTCCAACCCAAACTATTCTATGATTCTATACATACATCCTCCCTTCAATCCCCCTCCTTTATCCACATCTCTTTGCATCTTCTCTTGTTTCCTCTCCTCTGCTGCCTCATGTCCAAGCTGAATTCTTTCACTTCCTAAAGCCTTCAAAGCATGTGCTTGTGTTATCTGCATTTAGGGTACAGAGAGGTTACTTCTAGTCAGCCACAGCGCTCACATCCAGTGCCTACCAAGAGCCAAACCCAGTCTCCTAATACATGTCCCACATGTACAGCCACCTGCCATCTCTTGTCCATGGTTGTAGTCTCTCTCAGAGAGTCACTGTCATATTCTGCATTCATACAGTACTTCCTACACAAAGATTCAGATCAGAACACAGCAATTGTCACTGCCTAGGTCTCAAGCATGGTCTACTAACCTTTAATGTAGGAAGCTCAAAATCCCAGCCCAGCCATGTACACTGTCACTAGCTCAGCTGCCTTCCTTCATCCATCCCCACACATAAGTGCTGGGAGCAATTCATAGATCATAGAACCACTTTAACCTCTTAAATCTCACATTTCTTCCAAACACTCATAGAAGCAAAGAGATAGACTCATCCTGTTTACCTTGCCCATCATACAGCCTCACTCAGATCCACAGTGGTTTGTATCTGCTCACAGAGAGATGCCAGATATCCCCTTTGGTTATTTAAATGCTCCTTCCAGAGAGAAGACCTCCCTCTCAAACAACAAAAGCAGCACTGGCAACAGAGTTGTAGTTTTTGGTGCTACAGTAAAGTAAGAAACATGATCCCACCCTGATCAGGCAGTACCTTTGAGAAGTGTTCCAAGAGCATCTTCTGAAAGGCTCGCTCGTATGGGTCTGAAGGCATCAACTTTTTCCCTGGAAATGCTTCATCTAAATATTCGCAAGTGATTGGGGACTCATAGATCAGCTGGCCCTTGCTGGTCTCCAGCACAGGAACCAGCCCAAAGGGGTTCTTCTCAAAGAACCAGTCAGGTTTGTTCTTCAGGTTGATGTTGATTACTTCATGGCTAAAAGAGAGAAAGAAACAAGACCCAAATAGGCTCAGTTCTGCTACAGTCCACCGCCTACCATGGTGAAATGCAGTCATTACACCTCAACAGCTAGAGTGCTTGAGAGGCTGAATCCTCATTCCCCCACCCTCCTTAGTCCTCCCTGGAGTCCTCTGCAGAACTGATCATTTGACACATAAAAATACTGCCAGGAAGCACTTCCCTTTGCTGAAGAAAATCAGCACGGACTTACAAGTAGTTGTTTGTTAAACTAGTAAAAGGCACATGAACAGTCTGCAAGCATGCTGAGACAGCCCTTCTAGTCATGCTAAAAACAAAGGTCAAGCTCAGAACACAGCATCACACTTATCACATGCAGGTTCAGGGCCTTGCGAAGAAAGAAGCATTTGATTGCAAATAAACTACACTCCAATTAAGTAATGAAGTTGAACTTTAATCTGACCTTACACTAAAGAACAAATCAGGAAAGCATCCTACCTACTTATCTTCCCCACCTATGGCCTCACATAGAAGAGATGTGTAGGGTAAAAGCAAACTAGATATTGATAAAAAAGACACGTGGGAAATATGTTTGTTATATTAACAAAGGATGTTATATGCCGTGTTACATGTGTGACCCCAGAAAATTCCCAGTGAGCCCAAAGGTCTGTTAAACACACTGAACCTTTAAGACAACTAAAAGGTTACTAGAAGACACCTAACATGTTTAGGCGGCAATAAAACCCCTCCAAAATCACTACACTAAACCAAACCTCCCAGCTTCAAAACTCAGTCCAAAGACACCAAATAAATTAAATTACAAATAAACAAAAATTAAATTAAATAAACAAAATTAAACTGACCTGGAAGTTTTAATGCACCTACTCTTTGGAAAAAAAGACCCAAGAAAAAAAGAAAAAACCCAACCAAACCAGCCCAAGTCTCATCTTGCTATCAGAAGATCTGAGTAGTAAGCATTCACTAGGCTAACATGGACTCCTAGCCCAGTGCTGGTTAACAAACCATTGGCAGGCCAGGGACTTGGTGGGAATCCACAGGTGGAAAACTGTGAAGCTGTAAAACTCAGTGAAGCATTAGTTCCCATTTAAAAACACTGAAACGATATCGCTATCTTGAAAAAGAAACAAACCCAAGTACTGAATTCCATTAACTTACTACAGGACAGGAATGAGAAGGCGTTATAGGAACACAGTACCTTTCCTCTTTTAAAACGGCCACACAGCACTGTATTTTGCTAAGCACTAATATAATAGGCACACGTAACAGTCCTCTCTCCCCAAACTTCCACTGCAGCTTGCCTCAACACCAAACAGCTGCATACACTAAGGCCCTACTCACATTTACCCAGGACAAGCTCAAACACTTTAGTGCAAACATTCAGGGTGACAGGTGAGATGGGGCTTTACTTAACCGACTTCACACACCCCCTACCCATTTCACACATCAGCAAGACACCACTCCCCAAAAAAAGTCTTAAGAGGTTCCAGCTTTACAACAAAATCACCCACAGAAACCTTTTTTCATGCGGTTCTTCCAGGGATGTTTAATTAAGCCCCATGTAGGAGGCCCAGGTAAGAGGGAAGCTTGAGCGGCCCGAGGGACAGTCACGGGAGCGCGGGTGCAGCGGCACCGGGGGAGGGGGAGGACGGCC